CTGTGCGAGGTCTGGTTACACACCGTCCCACCTCAGCTACAGTCACTTCTCTGTGCTCCCCTCCTTGGGGAAAAGCTAGTCCTTCCTGAGGTTTGTCTACACCTATCTTTTCAAAATACAGCTCTGGGCTTACGGATCTGTAACTCTTTGCCTTCCAAGTCCCTAATTGCTATTGTAGTATGTGTCATTGCTTTTCGTTTTCTCTGCCTCTGCCCTCAGTTGCTCCTACCTCACTGAGTTGGAGGTGTGCCAGGGAGTGCACTGATCTCACCTGTGTGTTGAGGACACCATGGTCCCCAAGTGCATTTTAGCTGCATGTGTCCCATACGCTTGATGGCGCCATTTCCTTATCTTTTACTTCTACAGATTTCAGTTAAAATTTGTTGTTAAACTCAAGTTACACAGAGGACTCCTGAATTTTTCAAATGTGTGTTTTCTCTTTTTTGCTGTCTTTCTGTAACTCATTTCTGGATTTATTGAATCATGTCACTCTTTCATGTCAGGATTAATTCCCGTATCATTTTATCATTCATTACACGTTGCTGAAATCACGAGATGTGACCTACACGCCATCAAGTCCTCGGCATTTGTTGTTTGCTGCCTCCGTTCTGTGAAACTCCCGCAGCTGCTTGAAAGGAATGTGCACTCGCTCATGGTTGGGTATGGCAGGCAGGAGCCGCTGGGTCTGACAGCTGTAGGGATACCTCATGAGCTGTGTTCACATCCTCTGTGCTTCTCACTAATGTTCTGTAATTGCATAGTACAGGACATGTACAATATATACATACCCCACATACATGTAATGTGTATCACAGTGATATAATTACAGTGATACAGACAGAGACGTTCCTGACACGCACGCACACCGTGCCACACATCACAGTGATATGATCACAGTTACAGACACGGGACACCCCTGACACGCACGCATACCGTGCCCACACATCACAGTGCTATGATCACAGTTACAGATGCGGGACGTCTGTGACATGCACACACACCAGGCCCGTGTCCACGCATCAGAGTGATGATCACAGTTGCAGATGCGGGACATCTGTGACACGC